ATTTCCCTGAACTAGCACTATCCGAAAATAAACCCGCAAAAATATCGTTTTCCAAAACAGATTTATAATCGTTTTTTGAACCTTGAAAAACAGATTCATTATTAAGCCAGAAAACAATTGTTTTAGTTTACCTTTATTCCCCAAATTTCCAGTCACAAGTCCTTCTAACTTTTAGCAAAATAATAACAATAAATATAAATATAATACAAATAATAATGGCAACCATAATAGACAAAATTATAACCGCGATTGAGAACAAAGAGTGGGACCAAATTAGTGAAAGCGACTGGATCCAAACCCTTAACGCTTTAATTAGATTTGGGGTAGAAGACTGACGAGCCTTAAAAGCAATATTAAAATCTCACCTTCTTCCTTTTCTTGAGCAAATAGTTTTTACTGCCCCGGAAGCTCTATGAAAGCAAATGCAAAAAGACCTAGCCAACGCATTATCAACAGAACAAGGAGCACACCATCGCACAGCACCCGACAGAATCATTGTATATAACGAATCACAGATTTTAAACCTTTTTATCTCTTCCGAACAGCAAAAAGATTATGAAAATTTAGCCCGAGAATTGCTGACCGCCAGTCTGGACTTGCTATTAGCAGTGGTAAATGAAGATTTATGCTCCCAAGTTTCCACCTTGCTATTTAATGAGGGATTAGAAAATGCAGAAATAATCCGACGACTACTCCTAATTCTAAACGAGCATTTAAATAAACTCATTATTCGTCTACCCCACTCAACGCTTAGCAATCGTGACCAGGTGCGGACCAGTGTAGCCATCAAAACAGGGAAGTTATTTGATTTATTAGCTATTGGTGATGAGGACGGGGGCGGAGAAGAAACTTGACAAGCCTTTATCCAAGTATTAAAATCTATAAACCCGCAAGAAATTCAAGTAGCCAAGGAACTACTAGTCGAATGGGTGTCAACGGAAATTAATACCGAACATTTGCGTGCCTATAATTCTGAAATCAACGAAATCCTCAAAAATACTGTGAAATTCTTGGACCTTCTACTGGATGAAAAATTATTCACTGATATTTTAGCAATAATTAATAAGATAGTTTTTGTGTCAGAAAGAAGAGGCTGGGAAAAACCAGAAAATTTTACTTTAAACGAATGAAAAGAGATAGCAGCGGACAAAATTCTTAATTTAGGAAATAATATAGTAGCCAAATTTCGCTGCCTAGCCCAACCAGAAAGAGCCCTCCCCCGTGTTACTGAGGAGGAGAAAAATAGAGTTTTAAGCAAACTCTCACTCGGAGTAACTCCATACGGTATAATGAACCTTACCGCCTTTCCTAGGCTTCTAGATAGTTTTCAAAGAATTATTTCCGGTTCTCTACCAGAAGGTATTCCGTCACAGAACGAACTTGCATATTGTTTCTTTTCTGCGTTGTCCTGGGACAAAGTTGAAAAAGTTTTGGCCCCTGCGGAACTCCGGGAGGAAAAAGTTTGAACAACTGAAAAAGTAGCACTAGCCGGGTTAGTTCTCTTTGTTCTTCTTGCTGTCGGAGCACTGTTGTGGAATTATTTTGCAAAAAAAAAAAAAAAAACAATGTGGTAAAGGCGGGATTGTCTCGGGTTAGTTATTATGCTAACAATACTGCTTAAAAAACCACAAAATAAAGCAAAAATTAATAAATTACTGAGCCGAGAATTATTAAAGACAATTGGAGGATGTTATTATATTATGCGAAATTAGTGTCTGTTCTTTATTCAACCAACTCTCTTGAATACTAGAAACTAGACAAAATTAGCTGGCATTAATTTCGGATTTTGTAATATAGCACTTCGCCTATTGAAAGTTAATAAAACCCAAAAAAGAATATTCCGAAAGTTTTATTTTTGCTTTGATGAAGAAAGCGGGATTGAGAATTAGTTTCAATTAAAGTTTCAAACCTCCGAACCGAATATAAAATTTTTAGCAATTATATAAGAAATTACCCTAAAAAAATGTTGACTTTTTATTACCCGGGCAAAATAAATGTTCTTTTTCTATTATTTTTAAATTATTTAAAATAATTTAGTTAAAACTAAAAGCAGAAAATAATTTTACCTAATTTAATAATTATTTTTAATTAACTCAATTGAGTTCTAATTTGCCGGATAATTTGGAATTATTTTGAGTCATGATTTATGTTTTTTTCTAAATTAATTTAATTTTTCCTTTTGTTAATTCTTAATTTTGAATAGACAATCCCTAGCGCACCATTTATAAGTAATCTTTAACTCTTTCTTTGACAAATCCCAACATTTATTACAGTAATCGTCAGTTTTTTTATGGCATTGGCAGCACTTGTGCTTCTTTGCGTGTGGAGTGATTTCCTCCTTTTAACCTATAAATTCAAATTATTAGTAATGCTTAACTAACCAAGCCAAAGATTAAAAATTAGGCAATTACATACAATTTTACTCAAGCAAAACGACCAGTTATTTTTTTAGTGTAAGTTCGTTATAATTGCCAAAATTAAAATAGTTTGAAATTGCTAAACAAAACGGCATTATCCCAAAATCCGGCAAAAATTTTTAACTAAAATCTTTTTCGGTAAATTGGCGGTAGTAATGATTAGCGAAATATCAGCCTCAGACGAGAATTAGAGCCGTTGCAAGCAGGGGGGAACCAATGCCTAAAAAGTTCCTTCAGAAGGGAGAAAAAAGTTCCTTTACTTCTGGGAAATTAAAAGCAAAAATTGGGGAAGCAACTAAACTAAGAACAATGTAGAAAAAGTAGAGGAAAAGTGCTCCTCATTTGTCGATAAATGTAACCGCTAGACAACACTTAAAGAGAGGAAAAAGTCCAAGGTTGAGGAAAACCGAGAGCAAGAAATAACCTAAAGATTTTAATATGGCTCCACTCCAAAAACAATACCCACCAGCCAAAAGCAGAGGTCAGATTACGTAAGCAAAATCAATTAGCCAGCCTTGAGCCCAGAAAGCCAAAAATTTGGCGTAAACTACTTCTGGTCGTCGCACTGGACTAGACATGGTAAGAATTAATTCGTCTTCGCCAGTCGAAACTTCCTCTACTTTCATAAGACCCTTGGCGGAACTGGGAGTGATGGTCTTGGCCAAAAGAAGTCTGATAGAAACCAGAGAGTGAACCGCTATAAAAATGAGGTTAAGTCAAACAAAAGCCCCATTAAAAGCAAAGTTAAGTCCGTAGCCCAAAGGAAGGGGGGTAATTGGAGCATAGCCGAGAGCCAAATTAGCCGTGAGAAATTGGGATAAATTATTATCCGGGGCAATCATTTTTTGGGCAAAAATTTGGTGCAGACTTGTCGTTGCTGCTTTCTCCAAAAAAGTCCCCCTCCACGTATCTTCCGAAAAAATATCAAAAAAAACATCAATCGGACGAGTTAAGACTTCTGGCAAAGGCAGAGAAATTTTATAATGTTGGAAAACTGCGGTGGAAATATTTATGAGGTTAAGAATAAGAGCTGTGATTAAGTAGAAACGAAAAGAGCTTTGACTAGTAATTCTTTGGAAATAATACCTGAATAATTTTTTGAGAGTAGGATAATGGATTGACATGAAAGTTTATTTTTAAGTGGTTAATTTTGTTGATTTCTATTTTTTTAGTTTTTTACTCGTTTTGTTCGTTGGGTTGGAGGTTCTGTTTATTTTAGTTTTATGGTGTAGAGGCGTAGAGAGAGAGAGAGAGAGAGAGAGAGAGAGAGATGAGGTTCTCGTCCTCAACTTCTTCTCCCAATCAAAACTCGGAAAACCCCACCCAGAAAAAAATTTCCGCCGTAAGCATTTTTCTTGAGCCAAGTTTTTTTTTACGGATTAGTAGTGGCTAGTATACTGTTTTTTTGCTACTTCG